CCTGCAGCTCCTCCCCCCACCGCTTCCGCGTCGTCCGTCGCCGCCATCACCGCCGCCGCATCGCCCGTCGTCGGCCGCCGACGCCTGACGCCTCTCCCGCCTCGCACGGCCGGTGTCACAAAGAATGGAGAGAGAGATGAGGAGGGAAGAGAAGAGAGGAAAAGAGAGAGGAGGATGATGTGGTCACACTGATATGTGGGGTCCATGTGGGTTCCACGCTGACTCAGCCGCCACATAGAACAAAACCGGGGTAAAAAACCATCGAAGGATTTAAAGTGAATGGTTTTGTTAGTTGAGGGACGTCCGGTATCTGGTTTTATGGTTGGGGGACGATTTTGTAACTCGATGACAAGTTGAGGGACCTTTGGTGTACTTTATCCTTTCTTTTGGGTCTTTGTAACTGTGGGCCGATCTTTCCCTCATCTCATCTCGGACCTGACGGTACCAGAACCCCTTGGGCCTCACAGCCCATCACAATCCCGGAAGGCCCATTAGTGTTTGGGTGGTTGCGCCGGCGAAACCTGGGTCCATCAAGGCTATAGCTCGTCCTGTTTAACTTTGACTTGCCGTTGGTTACAGCGGAAGCTATGCTTAAAAACCCAAGTCAACTACGAGAATTCGACGTACCCGGCCAGGCTGACCGACAACGGGAGGACGGCAGGATTAATTACGACGCGTTTGCTAGTTGTGGTCAAGCAGGACGCCAGAACCAGCTCCCTATCGAATATATTTTTTAGGACTATTAACTAAGTCTATTATATACTAAACGTCCACTAAACTTCCTATAAATGCTCCTACATCGTCACATGGCACCCTACAAACGCTCCTAACATCTAACCGTTGATTTTCATTTAATCTGGTGGACCCATTATTTTTAACCGTAGATCTATCATATAAAAAAATACCTTTTAGATTTATCTTTAGAAACCGCATATCTAGGACGCTCATGTACGTCTGTACGCGTACGTACGTAGGCCCCACGCCTCCTTTTATTTTTTTTCTTTCTCATTAATAACATATGAAACGAAATTAATAATTCTATCCCATAGGTCTAAAATATATACGTACGTACTTCATAAGCCAGCCCCACGTCTCTCCACTCCCTCACATCAGATAAAAACTAAATTAATAAATCCAGCCCATAATTGTAAAAAATATATATTATTTTAAGTTCTATTCTACTATATATACATCATCGAAACATCCATAAAAAATCATGGACAGATAAATAATATACAATATATAATTGTATATCACTTACTAATATACATAGTTAAATTAGACTTACATTTTCAAAAATAAAAACATAGCCCGTAATTGTAAAAAATATATGTTATTTTAAGTTCTATTCTACTATATGTACATCATCGAAACATCCATAAAAAAAATCTAAACAAATCAATAATATACAATATATAATTGTATATCACATACTAATATGCAAAGTAAAATTAGACTTACATTTTCAAAAATAAAAACAACTCCAGTAATTATTCCCTCCCTACAATAAAAGATATATATTGATATATCGAAATAATATAACTAAATTTACCATGAATGTATTTTTCATATATTATTAGTTATCTTTATTTATATATTATTAGAAATTAAAGATCAAATGTATTCTTTTGACAATCGCGTCGATGTCTTTTATATCCTACTTAGGTTGTGCGATCCAGCTCATTAGATGAGCTTATCTAGGGCATACAAAATGATACTGGTCATTAACATAGGAATTGAGTATTAGATATTAAAAAGGAAAATGAATTTATTTATTTTTTTTAAAAAAACTTTTATATAGAAAGTATTTCTAAATCATGCAACGTGTAATGCACTATTTAGCAGTTTAAGAAACGTGCTCTCTATAAATATAAATAAGAAAGTAGCTAATCTTATAAGCACTTTAGAACTCGACCTTAAATTTCGCTATAAGTAAGGAAGTAGCTAATTCTATAAGCATTTTAGAACTCAACGTTAAACTTATTACTTAGGTACTAAAGCTTTAAATGTAGTATATAATATACTTGGTCAATCCTAGCCTAAAATATCAATCGTATATCCTCATTGATCGCCATGTATGTAAGTTTTATATATAAGCCACTATCCACTAAACGCCAAGTCATATTTCTTACGCGGTATCCGTGCATAGTGCATATAATGATCAACTGATATCCAATGAGAATGTTTGTTATCAAGCACAAAAGATAAATGACAATACTAAGTGCGCAATGATCATCAAAAAATAGGTGAGTAGAGGATGCAACCAATCCACTACAAACAATAGTTGACTACAACTAAATTGCGACTACGAGTAATAGCGTTCCTACACTTCTACAAACGCTCCTAAGATGTCATGTGACATTCTAATTAGAGAGAATCCAAGAAAATCTATTATATATCTATTATATACTAAAAGTCCATTAAACTTTATACAAATGCTCTCAAGCTATCACGTGGGATTCCTATAAACATTCCTAAGTCGCCACGTGGCTCTCTAATAAATTATAAGGAAAAAAATCCAAACAACAATTTCCACTTAATCACGGTGGACACATTATATTTTACCATTAGATTTATCTAACAATGTAAAAACATAAAAAGCTCACTTTCCATCCCTTCACGTCACATACTGTATCAACCTCCACGTGTAAATACGTACGTATCTCTCCTTCCCTCCCCTCACATCCTCTCCTTTTCTCCCCTAAAACTGGCAACGTTATATATTTAGAAAAATAGATAGCTTAACAATTATAATTTTTAAGTTCTTTCAGTTGTTCTTTTATTTACAATTCAATAAATAATTCAAGTTCCATATTATCTATATTATACTATATAAAATTGAAATACATTATTTGGACATTATAAGGAAACCAAACAAGAATAAGACATTATAAAAAGAATTTGACAATATGCTTCATTTTATCTTAAATCAATCCACATGATCAAAATTGATCAAACTTCATGTAGAGCGCTTTTTAAGTAACCATATATCACATCAACGGAAAAAAATTAGGTGGTTCCATTATTTTTACCCATTATATTTATCTAAAAAATCACCAATTAAATTTATCAGTTAAGTAGTTACATACGTACTAAAAATTGTACTACGTACATATGTACTTACGCACACCAAGGCCCACATCTTTCTTTTTTTCCCTTTCTCACTTAAATTACATGGAAAACCAAACTAATAATTTAATGAGCACGTGTGTCATTAAGCATCTAAGAAAAGAAATAATACTAAATGAGCAACCATCAATAAATGATACGTAAGTAGAGGTTACCACCAAGCTACAGCAAATAATAGTTGACTACAAATAGATTGCAAGTAAGACTAATAGCGTTCCAACAATCCTAAGATGACACGTAATTCTTTAATAAATAACACAAAATCTAAGAATAAAAGTAAAACACCTTGTCATCAATTTACACTTAAACCGGTGGACCAATTATATTCAACCATTATATTAGATCTATCGAAGTAATCCGTTGCTCTTAAAAACAATTAATCCCACCCTATATACGTACATACACAAGAAATGTAAAAAAAAGAGCGTATCTACCATTTGCCCTGTATGGTAGTTTTTTTTCAGCGTTAGCTCCTAGCGATGTTATCGAGGAAGCCATGTCATCCTGGCACCACTTGACACCACCCCGTCAATTTTCATGAATGTATTTTTTTACTAACGACGATGTAAAAACCAGTTGGCTGCTCATATAAACACCTATGCATAACCATCCTGTGAATACACATACAAACATTATCTCCTACAAGAGGAAAATATTTGTAAAAAAAAGCCAAGAAAAATTATATAGATCCGAGAGACTACTATATATTCACCATGAAAAACATACATATGTGCGTGCGTACATACGTACGTACATACATGCGTACGATCGAAAATAGCACGTGGAACCACATTATAACTCTTTATAATTATGCCAATATCATCTTAATAATGTTAATAACTAGCATAAACAATTTTGATAATATAAATTATTCTTTCGTATATTACCCATGAAAATGCATAAGTGATTAGATGCATAATAAAAGAAAAAAACAAAACACATATTAACTCGTATGTTTGTGAAGGATGGTGATAATAAAGTGATTTTTGTTTGAATATAATAGACATTATCATATAGTATATTAAAGTTTATGGTCTATTTTACGGAATAAATATTTTTTTTTTATTCTAGGTAATGATTCTTATAGTGAATATGGTGAGATATCTTTTAGTATTTTTTTTATAAACAATAAGTGAATTGCCCGCGCATATGCGCGGGCTTCCTTCCTAATGATAAATAAATAGTCTTTAATATCGTGCCTATTTTTTTAGGATTATTGGCTAGTGATAAATAAATAGTCTTTGACATCTTGGCTCGATGATGCTGCTGGCTTCGACATAGCATGAGATCGGCAGAGCTAAGCTAAAATTAACTTTATGTTTTGTGTGATAAAATGATTGATGGTACGTACGTACTAGTTAATTAAGTAATAGACAAAGTAATAACACTCAATTATGCGAGCGATTTTTGCCTGTATCGTTCTGTCTTTCTGATTAGTTTTCGGATAAAATCACACAGGTATTAAAATTGAAAACAAAAATAAAATTGAAAACGCTGGCAACAGCGGGGAGCGCTCCATGCATGCCGTACGTCCAACTGGACAAACTTGACGCACAGATCATCGCGCGCGTCACATGAATGATTCAAAAGTACGGAAGAGATTAGTTTATTTTCAGATTCAGCTTAACTCACAAAACACGGCCCATTGTAATTCATTGGTAATATCTCCGTCTCAAAATAAATATAGCAATCTAGTTCTCCCTCCATCCTGACATCTATCCAAAATCCTTTATATTTTGAAACAAAGAAAATACGTATCAAATTAAACATACATACTTATTATGAATTTGGACATGGTTTATCCAAATTTGTAATTGGATATATCTAATCTAGTACAACGTACTCAATTTTATATTTTGAGACCGATGGAGTAACACGCGAAGAGCTCGACAGATATTGCATTGGCTAGATCGTAACAATCAAATATTACATGTCATTTTAATTTTTCATCTAGGAATACTGTGTTACAACAGCGTACAACAAAATGCAGTTCCATTACAAGTTTACAACCCCCATGGATTACGATTAATCATTTCTGACGGCTAGCTCCGTCTCGATCGCGAGCTAATTAATTAATTAAGTAATTAATTAATAAAGCAATCGAAGAAACTGCTACTAGTCGCGCGGCGGCGCACGGTCGTTGACGTCGACGACGCCGTCGACGACGTCGCCGGCGGCGAGGCCGTTGTCGTGGCGCTCGACGCACTGGAGGATGTACTTGAAGGCCTCGGTCTCGCAGGGGATGGCGAGCGCGCCCTGGTGGCAGAAGCCGAACTCCTCCTCCGCCTTCTCCAGCAGCAGCCGGAACACCGGGTGGCCGAGGTACCTCGTCGGGATCACGAACCGCCGCTGCTCCGGCCCCACGTACACCGGGCAGTACCCCCTCGGCACGTCCGCCGGCGGCTCCGGGCTCTGGCAGCTCTCGTCGTCGGAGTCCACCGTCACCGTCCTCTGCAGCCGCCTCATCACGAACGGCGGTATCGCCGCCGCCGCCGCCGCCGCCGGAGCCACCTCCACCACCTCCTCGTCTTCCTCGTCTCCGGCGGTGGCAACATCACCCTTATTCGCCCCCAGCGCCATCGCCTGCCATTTCTGCAGCAGCTCCCTCAGCCGCGTGATCTGCTTCATCCCCGTCGCCGTCGTCGCCGCCGCCGCCGCCACCTTCACGCCGCCGCCATCGTCGCCCATTTAGGATCGATCTTGTCACTGAACTGAGCTGGAGAAGAAGATGGAGAGATCAGCGAGAGCGAGAGCGAGCGAATGATGAATGGATCGAGAGGACGGCATGCGAGAGTGGGCATGCGATTATATAATCAGTTCGTACTCGCAACGCGGCCATGGAGGGGTAACATGGCAAGCTAGCTGCATATGCATCAGCCGGAGAGATTCCATTAATTTTCTCCCGGTTTTTAAAATGGGATTTGATAATGTTTTGATTGGACGAGACTAGCGCGGCGTGTCGCTCAAGAATGCATTGTGTTTGATCCATCCGGGCTAAGCTTTAGCTAGCTTAGCTTAGATAGCTAGACTTCAAATTAAAGAAGATTCAGAAAAAAAAAGTATAAATATATTTTGTACGTACGTTGCCTTGCAAGCGAAGCAGGAATATATCATATCAATTCCGGATTTTAGTGATGAGCTTGGCGCAATCGCCAAGTCTGGACTCTGGAGTTGTGCTTAATTCACACTCCTTTTTCTGCAGTGGAATAGCTAACTGAGGGCCTGAGGCAGGCTGTGTGCGCTGGAAATTAATTAATTTTTCAGGTAAGTACGGACTTTAATTTATGTATGGCCTGCACAGGAACATGCTTGCATGATTGTGTTTGATCGGATGCCAGGTTAGAACATGATGGATCACCAAGTCAGAATTAAGCCGGTGCATCTGCGTAAAATTGCCATATACTTACTTGTGATTTTCTAAAATGCACTTGATAGTGCAGTGGTAAGAAGTGTGTGGTTTTAATTATCTCTAAGGTCTTATGTTCAATTTCTAAGACATTTACAATTTTCTCTCATTCACCCAAAATTTTTATATTTTGGAACGGAAGAAGTACGTATGCTAGAGGTGTACTATGTACATGAATCCATCTAAAGGTCGTAGATTAAAAAATTCTTCATTTTAATTCCTGTATGATTTGAGTCTTGAGTTTATTTTATTTTTGGCCCGACGTGACAAGGACAGAAACCCCCAAAGCATGGACTGATGACCACTGAGTTATGCTCTGATCCCTGAAACAATTCTTAATAAACCACCCTCAAATAACTAATGACCTGGGGAGCTGAGCATGCATGCACCCAGATGTAAATTAAAAGGGAGAATGATAAGTACTATTTAGCTAAAGCATGTCCCAAACTTTACATTACTTGATGAACCAAACAGCCGTTAACAAAGCATCATCACACAAAATTAAACCGTTTCTTATTCATCATAAACTAGAAACGGAGGACACATACGTGGCCGGCGTGTTATGCTAGATCTTCAGATAAGGACATTGGCATCGCTTGGAAAGGTGGCTGCTGCAACGTGCAAGCACATGACCGACGAGCTATAGCTACTGCTCCTACGTAGTACTTCCTCCGTTCTAAAATGTAAGTATTTTTGAGGTTGGCATGGGTATTAAGAAAATAGGTGAGAATAATTGAAAAAGGTGTGTGATTGGTTGAAAAGAGAAGGTAGATGAAAAAGAATGGTTGTGATTGGTTGAGAGGAGAAGGTAGGTAGAAAAATAGCTTCATTTTAGGACTAAGTACTGTGCTAGAAATAGCTATATTTTAGGACGGAGATAGTATATGGCAACTACTACAGTACTGGAGTCTGGAAATGTGTACACTTGAGAACTCGACATGTAACACACACAATATATATATATATATATATATATATATATATATATATATATATATATATAGGCATATAGAAATATAGATGCTACGAGTGACCCAATGGGGCCAACAGAATTAATCGCCAAAAGAGATGAAATTAGCGAGCCATGTGAATATGTCGATCTTGATAGATTATACTCCCTCCATCCCATAAAAAAACAAGCTAGTATTGGATGTGACACATCCTAATACTATGAATCTAGACATACATATGTCCATATTTATTATACTATAATATGTCATATCCGGTTCTAAATTCTTTTTTATGAGACGGAGAGAGTAGATACCTACTTAACTAAGAAGGAATAAGGAGGTCGGTGGCACGATTAGTACCTCTCTAATCCTGTCTTAGTTTTTTTTAGAAAAAAAACAATATGTACAACCCACCGTACAACCGCGCATAAGACGCTTACATAACGCATAGACAATCATTCTATAAACGTGCACACATATACTCTACTGGAAATTTAATTAACCATAAATACAAACGCTCTCCTATCAAGTTTAGCTATCAAGTTTAGGATTTGATTTCGAATAGACATGTTTTACCGTGAGAGAGACTTAACCAGTTATAAGTTTTGTTTATACTAGGTAAAACCCCGCGCATTGCTGCGGGAATTTATTATGATAACAATAAAAAATTAACATGTAAGATAGCTAGATAACATCAAATTAAGTAAGTTAATGTGGTTTATGATAATTTAAATTTAAATAGTATGTAGAATGGTGATTCAAACGTAAAAAAATAAGGTGGTATGACTTTATGGAAAAAGAAAAGCAGGGAGATAGTTTGGACCGTAGATTAATCATCTAAAGGCTAAAAACAGTTGATGTAATATGACTTAATTAGAGGAAAAAAGGAGAAAGATAATTTGGACCATAGATTAATCATTTAAGCACTAACTAAGTGAGAACGAACTATAAAAGTATATAGGATATCATAAAACATAATAAAGATATATATTGAAACATTATGTGAATTATATTGGATGATAATTTAATATGTTTGTATTTGAAAAACTCTTAAATTATAAAAACTATAAAGATATAGCATGTTTGCATGATATTTAAATGTGATGATTGTTAGTGGACGATGACATGGTATCTTTGTATGTTAAGTTTAAGGAGTTAGTGGTGGATAACTCTATAATAAGATAAGATTACTTTGCAATTAATCTTGTCTTAGCTTTAACTGCACCTCTTGATTATTCGATCTCTTTGCCGTCGGTGCCCGCTAGCTGCATGATCGGTACGTGTTTACGTGTCAGGTAGTACTAAAATTATATTCCTACGTGAATGGCCAGACTTGTTGCTATTATAGCCTTTTCCTGATGCTTTCCTACTGTGTTTGTGCCATCGCTGGTGTACGTACACGGCTTTAGGTAGGGTTTTCCAGCTATGGCTATGGATTCTTTTCTTTTGGTTTTGGTATATGAACTCAATCTACGAGTATATTTGGAGGAGCTTAAAATTCTAAGAAACAGCTGGTAGGTAGTTAGAAAAGCTAGATTTAATTTTCAGTTTCTGACTTCTAGTTTATTTTCTGGATTATACAATTATAATTTCTCAAAATATGAACTAAAAGCTAAATTATTTGAAAAAACTTTAGATTCTACGAGAAATTGCAGCAGCTGGAAGCTCCCAAACAAGTGCGTCGAAAAAACGACCACCCACGAGACGAGCTAAAGCTTAGCGCATATCAGCTCCTATCGTAGCTGCGAGATGCAGCTAATTTCAATGACTCAGTTGGAGAATGTAGATGGGAATAATGTTTGTTGCCTTTAGTCCTGCATGCAGCCACAGTGCCATACAGTACAGGTCCATACCTATACAGCTGTACATGTGATTTTATTAACAAACTTAATTTGGTGCTACTCAGAAGAAATGATAAATTTTAGTGTTATTTTAACAATCAGTGATGATGTACGTCTTGCTGGCTGAATTAAAAGAGTTTATCAGTGCATCAGAGAACTTTTACAGCTAACCCGGCCCAAGCTGTAGAATTCGTAGCCCATCAGGCCGTCGTTAACTTAGCCTATGAACCTTTTAGGCCTGGACCAAAACTGAGCAGCGCGGCACTACTGCCGGTTTCCAGTTTGCACTGTTAAGTCTGTTACAAGTATTAATTTATGGGTGTAGCTATATTTATTGCGCCATATTTTTCATCAAAAAATAATCGGCATGTATTTACCTTGTAAGTCCCTAAATTACATATGTAATTTTAGTGTATTTATAACGTAAGTCTCAAAATTACATATGTAAGTACTAAAATTACATATGTAAATTCAAAAATTACATACTAATTGCATATGTAAGTGGGGTATAAATGAGGTGTAACTACAGTGTAAGTGGCTGAAAAAAAATCGACTGTAGCATATGACACCATATTTCTAGCGACTCCGTTAATTTATTGTAGGATATTAAAACCTTCGTTCCAAACGAATAGCATCAGACGAGACGGTGTTTCATATTATTGATATGGTAGAAAAAAATATAAGATTATTATCATGGGAAATAATAATTAGGATAAGGTAGGAAAAAATACAATCACGGCACGTACCAACAGCTCCGCACACACTCCGCAAAAAGGAACTAGCACCAAGCCCACTTCCACTATGCGTGACTGTACGTCGTTAGTGCTACAAGTAGGTCACAAACATCCTGTCTAGCACAGACTCCAACCATGACCAGTTGATCACCCATGGGCTCTCGACCATCACCATGTAAAAAGGGTTGTCGAAGCATGGGACGAGAGTGGAGAAGATTCACTCCTCTCTCGTACAGATCCGATAGCAAAATTTAAGAGCGTCGTTAGAGCAGGTACAATAGCAGATTATTAGCTAGCTACAAATATATGAGATAAAAGATAAGAGAAGAACAGCTGGCTACAGATAGCAGGTACAATAGCAGATTATTAGCCAGCTACAAACATATTTTAATGGGATAAAAGATAAGAGAAGAGCAGCGGGCTACATATCTGTAGCCAGTTGCAGCACGGACTCCAAGACGCAATGTGTGTATGACAGGTGGGACCATATATTAATAGTATAGTAAACAATTATTTTATGAATTGGCTATTAGATTGGCTATAGATGAATTAGAACTAGTAGTGGGCTATACTATTAAACTTGCTCTTAAAGACCGAATTGATCGAACATCAGACAGGCAATATCTTCTTTCAAGTAGAAAAATCTTAAAAGGTTCATATATAGCGGAATTGAGCTAAATTTAGTAAAGTTCATGCAAAATTCTTGTATATATTTCTTGGGAGTGTTCTTTTGTGCTGAGTGGCTGAATAAATGGATGGTTGGTGACAATTATTTGAGGATACGGATAAATGAATTAACTATCATAAATTTAAAAGATATATTTTTAAAATATTTTAAGAAATTTATATATACTTTGTTTTTGCAAAAAAAAAATCATAAGTTTAGGAAATGTTCCATTTATTCATCATTTTATTAAGTAAAAAAGAACATGGCTATGAGAAATGGAACACTTCTTATCCAGCACTAGTACTTTTCTCCGACGAATTCTTCTTTGAAGCCAAGTACTATAATTACTACATCTCCCATAATTTGAGAAAGAAAGCAATGTCTGAAGAGGATCCAACCCACTGTGGGCACACGCGCACGGATATGTGCCGAAATATCTCTCCATCGCACAAGTCACAGTCAGTGACTCACTGCACGAACTAAACCGTACATGAGGTGACACCATGATCATCTACTACTCCAATCTCGGAGTAAAGAAGGGGAAGAGAAAAAAAAGTGCATATGCCAGCACAAAAAAGTGCCGTGCTTTGATCGATCGATCGATCTCCATCGCTCATCGTCGACCACGACCAAGCTGCTGATCATCCAGATCTTGGATAAAAATGCCCGATCGTCAGGGGAACAAGCTGCTAACTACTCCCTCGTTCCATTACATGTACAAATATAAATTTTCGTGCCCAACGTTTGATCGTTCATCTTATTTGAAAAAATTTATAAAAAAATTAAAAGTTAAGTTGCGCATAAAGTATTATTTATATTTTATCATCTAATAACAATAAAATACTAATCATAAAAATATTTTAAATAAAACGGATGGTTAAAGTTGGACACTGAAATCCACAACTGCGTTTATTATGGATAGAGGAAGTAGCAAGATAGGCAGTATTACGGTGATTTTATTTCTAGCTGTTGTCTTACTGCTCTATGAGAGTCGTTGATACTGACCGGTGAACAGTGACCAACCCTTTTTCTTCTCTTATGCAAGTAGTGTCTTTTACTGTTGCTTTGCACTTTTTCTTTTCTCTCTTTTTCTTATTCATCCTAGTAGGAATACTTCGTTTTCATTTCTCGAAGCTTTATACGGCCTGATCGAGAAATATGGGTGTCCCTCGTCCAATGCGAATTGAGTTTGGTGAAGACTAGCTAACATGAGGTAGGTTCTTTGATCCACAAACAAGTTCAGTGGCGTACTACTAGCACTCTAGCAGAGATGGATCTGAAGAATGGTGAAGTATCAGGGCCTGTCATTATATCAGTGAAGCTCATTATTAAGATAACCCAAAGTCCACACAATTTTTTAGATAATATGATAATATCCGAGACTTTGCTCAACGAGTTACGTACAACCAATTATTATAAAATCCACACATAAACAAACTCAGTACACTGATATGATATAAATAAAACACAAACTAAAACATACCAACACAAGATAAAAGAACCCTGAATTACTGAATTCTATTCAAGAATCTCCATCCGAAAGTTGAAAAAAAGGTGCATAATCATCAACTCAAGTGTACGACATGGATCATTTACTAACTTGATATCATTATTATATCTTGTAGTTAAGTCCAACCCCAAAACCAATATGTTTTCCTCAAAAGTAACTACAAATAAGATTTTGATGATTGCAATGACATGAGACCGGATTAATTGAATTTCTACCCGGGATTTCTAAGCTACTATGATATCATTCACAGTGAGGTGTACTACCAATCATAGTATGTTGAACAGACTCTAATAATTGACCGAAACCAATAATTAATTAAACCTTAAATATCTTAGGACTGGACGTGCACGTATTTAGGATGAAGTGTATACGCTGTTAGCCACCACAGTACAACGCATGGTGCCAAGCTCCAGAATTCTCTAAAACCGCCGTTTCTGCATGAAACTATATAGGAGATCTCGGGAGCATTAGCACGAACATTATGGGCCTGTTCGCTTTGATGCCATTTTCAACCTTACCAAATTTTGATAAAGTTGTCAAAAAAAAGCTACATTTAATTTGCTACCAAATTTTGATAACTATATAAAAAATCCTGCCAAAATTTTAGCAAGTTTACCAAAATTTTAGTAATTATACCAAAATTTGACATTAAAGTGAACAGGGCCTATATAGAGTAATAATAGATTCCTAATCCTACCCTCAACTCGTCCATCGATCCACATCCGACGGATTAAAAGCGCCCTTAGTTTATGTTAGCTGCGGCCCGGATAGCGACACGTGGGCCCCGCTACGTGGCGTGCTAGAGTTTGGCGAGCACGGGTGGATCTTATCGGCTTCGTGGAAACTGGTGGCGACGTGGGACCCACCTGGAGAACTAATCTTCGTGTTAATTTTTTTTAAAATTTTTACCGTAATAAGATGCGGCTCGGCTCACCTGTGGCTGTGGGTGGCTCGCTAGCTGGGCTCGAGCCACGCCGTAAGCTCGAGTGTCGGCTCGGTGGCCATACAGTGCCAACTGCCAACTGTGATTCACCTTAGCGAAATTGCAGACCTGCAGTGTGTGCACTCGGAGAAATACTCTCACACAAAATGCTGATTTGTGTACTAGGTGATAGGGATCACACGCTTTCAAGAGTTCTCTTTTTGACAATGTAGGAGGTGAGGTGCTTTTCGTGACCTGGCATGTGCATAGAGTTATAGATTGAGTGGCATGCAGATGCAGGGGATCGAGGGGAGAAATATAGAGTGGTGCGGTACTATGATCGTAGATTGTATTTAAAGTAAAAGTAAAACCATATTATCGTAATAATTTATTTAATTTGTAGGAAATGACGGAAGTGATTTTGAGATAAAATGGTTGACAGTTGTATGCATGTTGTCACGGACGGACTAAAGGCTTAGCGTGATCTTGGACAGCCGCCATGGATTGACTGTGAGCTCCAAAACTTTAGATGACATGTACTCCCTCCGTCCCCCCCAAAAAAACCAACCTATGAAGGATCACATCCCCTCATAGTACAACAAATCTGGACAAAGTTATTAGTTGTACTAGGAGGGGTCACATGTTGGTTTTTTTAGGACGGAGAGAGTATTTGCTAGTGTCCCATCATGTATGTATATAGACTAGGAAAATATGGATCTTCAAATTTTACTAAACTTCAGAAATTTTATGCATTTATCCTTTCATAATCCTACCAATTTATCAGCTTAAGGGTCCTATATAAAGAAAACAACATATAAATTAATCCAATAGAGCTATTTTAAACAAGTCCTTTAAAATTCCCATAAAATATGCTATTTTAGATAAACTTTGGAGGCAAATAAGTACGAGGTTTCACCTCATATTTTCTTCTGAGTTCTTGTGTTTTCATACGTGCCAATCAAATGATTATATTTAATTTGTAACTTTTATGTGTCTTAAAATTGTAGAACCCAATGAGCATAATATTTTATTACTATGTATTTTTTTCAATTAATGTATTTTTAACAATTAATGCATTTCGAAGCTGCTCTTATCATGTACATGGACGCAGACTCGAATTGTTCATGAGCCGAGCTAAGCCGTTAAGGCGCGGATCGAGGCATGGAAAAACCAAAAAGACAAAAAAAAAAAAAGGAAAGTGACAAGCCAAAATTACACATGCCTCCCAAATATCTCGCCGAAATGCTCTCTCCACCCCCAAGACTCCTCTATAAATCCACTCCCCTCTACCTCCTTCCAACAAGGAAGGAAAAAAGAGAAGCAACCAGACACTGCACACATCATCATCTTCTCCCCCGAGACCGGGTAAGCCATCCCCTTCTCTCTCTAGATCTTCTCTCTCTCATCAAGAACAACAAGAGTGAATTAATGAACAGCAAGAACAACAACAAAAAAAACGCAGAGGAGAGGATGCATGCATGATCAATCAAATTAAGCTTCAAGGTAGCTAGCTAGCTTGCTAGCTCTAAGCTAAATACACATTTAATTAATTTGCTACGTATAAAAAACGTTGCAGGTGATCTTGGGTTAGCTTAGCTAGCTAAATTAAGCTGCGTGCAGCATGGGGCTCCTCGACCAGCTCTGGGACGACACGGTGGCCGGGCCGCGGCCGGACTCCGGCCTCGGCAAGCTCCGCAAGTACGCCTCCTTCTCCCCTTCCTCCTCCTCCTCGACGATGGCGGCGTCGCCGTCGCCCATCTCGGCGGCGGCGGCGGCGGCCGACGCGCCGGCCGTGACGCGCAGCATCACCATCCTCCGCCCGCCGGCGCTGTCCGTGACGTCGCCGCGCGGCAGCGAGTCGGGCCCCTCCACGCCGTCGTCGCCGGCCAGCGTCCCGGACTCCCCCTTCGGCTCAGGTGGTGACCAGGCCACCATAATCTCTTCTTGAATCTTGATCTTTTTGCACACGCATATATCGTAATCTCGATCTTAATTATATCTATGCATCGTCGACTTGTGCATGGCATGCAGCACCGACGCCGAAGGGATCGGAGGGCTGGAAGAAGCTGCGCCGTGGGGCGGCGAGGATGGCCGACGGCGTGGACGCCAGCGCCGGCGGCCAGCCGAGAAGCCCCACCGTATACGACTGGTAAGATTGCCTAGCTAGCTACTAAGCTAAGCTAGCTCCAAACTAATAAACGAAGAACATGGAGAGACGGAAAAGACTAATTAATCACTAATGATCTGTTTGGGGAGCATATGATCACTGAATATTTTTCTAGAAACTGCAGTCGTCAGAAGCTCTATTAAATAGTTCAGATTTACTTAGATTCTAAGATATTGTAGTCATAGAATTTATAAAATGGACTAGAAGTTAATAGTTGGGTTTCGTAGCTTCTCCAGATTCTCGCTAGTCGGTGAGATGTATATTAAAATCTTAATAACTCTCTAACTTAAATAAGCAACCTATTTTTGCTCTAATTAATCCTTAACCTGCAGGGTGGTGATCAGCTCACTCGACAGGTGAAGGCGTGATCTATCTAATCGAGCAGCTAAGCTCTGCATCCGGCGAGAAACTGCACCTGCACAATATGAAGCAGCTAGAAACTGAAGGCGAGCAAAGAAGAAAAAAAACACTAAATTCTGCTCTTTTTCAGTTAAGTTTCAGCTCGTCGATCCAGAGCATGAAATGTTCAGTGTTCAGCTATCTGCACTACTACAGACTGCCGATTTTGTAGCCAAGGATGTATAAACGTATGCATGCTTGTACTACCACCGTATAATATACGTACGTGTACGTAGTAGATCGATGCAGACAAAAAGTCTTAGCAGAAGAGGGGATCCTTGTACGTACACAACCTGTAGTGTACGTACACGATGCGATCGATGATGAACTGATAGTATATGTATATGGCGCAGCTGGTGTATTATATTACATGCGCTAGCTGGAGGGAGAGTGTGCTAATGTTGTACTAGTACTACGACTGATCTGTTTGCTTCTCCTCTGCTTTCTTTGTCTCCAGAAAAGAGGGAGAGGAGAGAAGTTTTTCCCCTGTTTTTGTGGAATATGTAAAAGATGGCTGCAGTGCATGCAGCAGTGTAAAAGTGTGAAAAGAAGTGGGCAATAATGCATGGCCAAATAATGTTATGAACCTATACTTAAGACTGTTTATTAGTAGTAAGTAGATGGTATCTGTCAATTATCATGGTGGTTGATAATTGACAATACTTGATTGTTTTTTCACAGCAGTCGTGTTCCTGATGTCAAGACGATGGGGAAGTTTATCAGAAAATTGAATGTTACCGTGCTCTTTGGACTGTTAAAGGTCAAGAGGATGAGGCTGATGTATCATGAATGACAGAAAGTATGAACCATGCTGCCATGCCATCTCACTAAATTCACAATTACGTGCTTTACACCCCCAAGGCCCTAAAATATACTCATATATATTTTTTTGTCAATAACTTAAGCGTCCACTTGGAATTTGAGTCCTGTGTGAAATACAAAACGAGGCTCTAAAATAAGAAATCCATGTTGTTGTAACAGGGGGTCATCGCCATCCTTCCTATTCAATCGTAATACTTAAGTATGGAAAGTTCTTCCTGTGCTAGAAAGTTCCTCTCGAACTGGAAACATGCTCTCAAGTCGGAAATTAAAGTTCCTCTCGAGTTGGGAAGTTCTTCTCAAGTAGGAAAGTTCTTCTCGAGCTGGAAAAATGTTTTCGAGTAAAGAGAACGTGACCAAGATGGTTTGTCACTTGTAACTTGTTTTGCTCAGGAACTGAGGCAGATTCGCTTCGGGAGTCGACGGTGGAGAAGAATAAGCAAGTCCCAAAGAACACAGGAGGCATCCAACCGGGTGTCTTGGAAGGGAAAATTCATTTGGACAAAGGGAGAGTCAAATGGAAGATTCTGTGGGGACCACTTCTCAACCACTCCTGCCAGCTGGAGCCGAAAGACCTTATTAGCCCAGAAAATGTACCTTAATGCCCCTAGCACTCATGATATGGCAAGGGTGTTATAGTATTTTCACTGTACATTTACAAGGGTAGAAATGTAATATAACATGTAAGACCATGGGCTATAAAAAGCCGGCCAAATCCCTGTAGCAGAACAAGACATTCTTAATACAAAAGTAATCATCAAAAGTTGTGTTTGATGTTAATTTGAGCTCATTTCTAAGGATAGGCGGGAAAACACTTCTTCCCGTTCTATTCCCAATCTTGTTCGTGACCTAAGGTCACAACACATATAATCAAAACATACTCTCACTTAATTATACAACTTCAGTGTATGTTATTTTCTATCGAAGCTAAGAGTAAAATAAATGTAATACTCAACCAATAAACTGACCTTATGTTCTGTTAAAGTAATAATCGTTTTAGTAATTCTTGAAATAAAAATCTTCAACCGCATATTCTTCATACTTAATCTTCTTCATCACATCATTTTAAGTGCTATTTTCATGTCCATGTATTGGGTGGAGATTATTGGGTTGATATGTGGGCCTATTTTCTTTATGATTTAGTGTAGTGCTTAAGTGAGAAACGTACATGGGTCTTTCAGCTAGCTCCAAAAAATGGTGCACTAGACAACTTGGGTTCGGAATCGTACCTTTTCTAATTATTTGATATTAGGTCATTCCCTAATATTCACGTCTTTTAGTATAGTGCTTAAGTAAGTGGATTAAAATTAGGAGTAGCTATATTTTTTACGCTATTTTTTAGTTAAATTAGTTTTACACGGTAAATTATTATAGTTACACTATAGTTATATATTGCAAGTTTTAATATTTACATTGTAATTTCTTGGATTAAGAGAATTATGTTAAAAACAATTTATTATCTACTTAGAAGAGAAGAGAGGTGAGGTTGATATGAAGCGCACTTACACACGAGAGAGACACTAGTACAGATCCTTCCATTTGTGACGGCCCATAACAAGACTGGAATTTGCGGGCCGTCACAAGGAAGTAATTTCAATCGGGCCGAAGTTTCGCCCGATTGAGATATGGTCGCACAGCCATGATATATCGGCATAAAACTAAAGCCTATCACAGATGACACTTATCTGTGACAGGCTATAGTTGAGGCCCGATTGAGATGAGGGTTCCATATCTCAATCGGGCCCTAAAAGAAGCCCGTCACAGATGAGGGTCATCTGTGACGGGCTACAACTAGAGGCCCCATTGAGATAAGTTTATTGCCCTTCACAGATGACACTCTTTTTTGACGGCCTTTTATTAAGGCCCGATAGAGATTACTTGTATGCCCGTCACGGTTGATTGTTTTAGGGCCGTTACAGATATTTGTTGCATAGTATAAATACCCCCCACCACCTAGTGTAACTGTATCCCACTATTCACTATTTTGGTGGGAGGCTGTAGGGGGCGATTTTTTGTCCTTTTTCCAAGGAAAACAGAAATTAAATTCCCAAAAGTGATCAAAATGGATCAATCAAGTGAGTAATATAAATCATTAATTGAGCAATTTCATCACGTCTTACTTTTGCAATACTGATTTTATAATATGTTCCTCTAATTTATTTTTTTTGTAGCAATTGATCGAAGTTGGATATATGCCAAAAAATTGAAACGTCATTCTATGGAGTACCGAAAGGGCATAATAAATTTTATGAACGCCGCGGAGGAGGATCGGATAAGAAGAAACAGTGATTACATATGTTGTCCATGTGCAGATTGCAAGAACGAGAATATGTTTGATAGCGGAGAGGACGTACACGGTCATCTGATACAATGAGGATTCATGGAGGGCTATACATGTTGGGTGAAGCATGGAGAGCAAGAATCAGGAAGTGGAGCAGCAGCAGACAGAAGTGGTGCGCATAATCAGGAAGATGAAAATGAGCATGACATGTTTATACCTTCTCCATTGGGCGGTGAAATGGTTGATGTGGATCACGATCTGCTGCAAGACATGTTACGTGACGTTGAGGACCCAGCCCAGAATGAGAGAGATGGAATGAAATTCAGCAGGTTGGTAAGTGATTCCGAGACGCCTTTGTACGCTGGATGCAAAGCAAAACACACTAAATTGTCAGTTACCTTGGACCTAATGAAGCTGAAGGCAAGTAGTGGATGGACAGACAAGAGTTTCACAGATCTTTTAGGAATTTTGAAGGCTATGCTTCCTGTTGAGAACACATTGCCCGAGACGACATACGAAGCAAAGCAGGTTCTGTGTCCACTGGGGTTAGAGGTCCGTAGAATTCACGCTTGTCCCAACGACTGCATATTGTACCACAAGCAATATGCGGACTTGGATGCTTGTCCTGTTTGCAAGGCTTCTCGATACAAGCGAAAGAAAAGTGCTGACGAAGGAAATAAGTCAAAGAGGGGTGGTCCAGCAAAGGTTGTGTGGTATCTACCTATCATTGATCGTTTCAAGAGAATCTTTGCCAACCCGAACAAAGCGAAGTTAGTACGTTGGCACGCCATGGAAAGAAGGAATGATGGTATGCTTAGACACCCAGCGGATTCGATTGAATGGAGGAATATAGATCAAAAACACAAAGACTTTGCTGCCGACCCTAGAAACATGAGGATATGTCTTTGTACGGATGGCATGAATCCTTTCGGTGACATGAGTAGTACTCACAGCACTTTGCCAGTTCTTATTGCGAACTATAACCTGCCGCCATAGTTATGCTTTAAACAGAAATATATTATGTTGTGCTTGTTAATCCAAGGTCTAAGGCAACCCGGCAATGATATCGATGTATTCCTGGAGCCTGTTATCGACGATCTGGAGATTCTTTGGAAAGAAGGTGTGGAAACTTGGGATGCATATGGTCAGGAGAACTTCAAGCTAAGAGTTCTATTGTTCTGCACCATTAATGACTACCCTGCACTCGGTAATCTTTCCGGACAAACTATAAAAGGAAAGAAGGCATGCTCCGATTGCAAGGAACATACACGAAGCCGGTGGCTGAAGAAATCACGAAAGATGGTATACATGGGTCACCGGAGGTGGCTCCCGCTACGTTACACATTTAGAAGAAAGAAGAAAATTTTTAATGGTAAGAGAGAACTTCAGCCTGCTCCCAAAGATTTGTCCGGAGATGAGGTCCACAATATGGTAAAGGACATAAGCAATGAGTTTGGGAAGAAAAGAAAACGTAGCAAGACAAAGGAGAAGGGTATGTGGAAGAAAAAAATCCATATTTTGGCGGCTACCTTACTGGAAAGATCTTGATGTCCATCATTGCATTGATCTCATGCATGTAGAAAAGAATGTGTGTGAGAGTTTGGTTGGTCTGATGTTGAATATTCCCGGGAAGACAAAGGACGGGTTGAACGCGCGCCTTGATCTACAGGACATGTGAAATATGTGAATGGATGTGAAATATGAGATGGCTGTGAATGTGTGGTTGTGTGAAATATGTTGATGTCTGTGTATGTGAATGCATATGTATGAATGGGTGATGCTGGGGAGTTGGGGATATTGGATATCTGTGTTTGTTTCTGTCATTTTTGCAGCGGGCATGGCTAGCAAAGGCCTGAGGCTAGCCAAAAAACAAAAATTATTTTTTTTGTAGATTATAGTCATCTGTGACGGGCCATAACTAAATGCCCGATTGAGATGAGGTCATCTGTGACGGGCTCTAGCTTAGGCCCGATTGAGGTCACTAGTCATCTGTGACGGGCTCTAGTTTAGGCCCGATTGAGGTCAGCAGTCATCTGTGACGGGCTCTAGTTTAGGCCCGATTGAGGTCAGCAATCATCTGTGACGGGCTCTAGTTTAGGCCCGATTGAGGTCATCAGTCATCTATGACGGGCTATAGTTTAGGCCCGATTGAGATGAGTATCATCTGTGACGGGCTCTAGTTTAGGCCCGATAAAGGTTAGTAGTCATATGTGACGGGCGCTAGTTGTGACCCGATAGAGATAGATCATCTGTGACGGGCTATAGTTTGACTGGTCGTCTGGGTCAAAGCTATCGGTGACGGGCTTTACTTAGGGCCCGATTGAGATATATTCATTCATGACGGCCGTTTGCCCGATTGAGATAACTCTTCACATCAGTGACTTCTAGCCTGTAACGGACGCTGTGCCCGATTGAGATGGGGCTTACCGCCCGATTGAGATGAGGGTATCCGTTCTAGTGAGAGCAATCATATAGATAAAAAATGATCGGATTTAAG